TTGAGATTTTTACCGGATCATATTTCTGAATATGTGATTTATTCACAGCAAATTTGTTAGCCCGCATTAGTATAATAAAATTATATACAATTTTTTACGCAGTATTTTTTATCTCTATTTTTTATTTAAAATTTTGATTGATTAAATATTGATATCTACAAATAAAAAATTCGTCTCTAAGCCCTTTTTTGTTGTGTACTGGCCCAAATATCAATCCTCTCATTTTTATGCAATCAAATTATTTAAGCGACACGTTGTAAGTTATAATCTTTTTAAATTTGTAAAATTTAGTAACTCATATAATTCACTTGTAAGTTCATAATAAAACTTTTGATATCTTTGTAATAGGTTTTTATCGATAGAGGATTCGAAAAACGGTTTAAATCATTCAATTTTTTTAAAAATGCATTACAACAAAAGAAAGACAAAAACATTCAAATAAATTACATGGAAACAATTTATATGGATTTAAATTTACACCAATTTACACCCTCATCACTAAAATCCTGTCGCCACAAAATTTCTTCAACATAATACTTATCACTTACATGACAATTATTTTTACAACTATATACAAGTAATGAACCCCAATCAAGTGAATCCTTTTGCATATGATCTACTTGAAGATAATTTAAAAGTGTAGATAATATCTTTATTGAAATTTCAAGGTTAGTGTAAGGAATTAAAAAATAAATAATAATAATATTTGTTTTGATATCATTATATTACTCACCTGAAATTCGAAAGTTCGTTCTTGACCACAATGCGAACATGAAGGTATGTCTTCAGGCATCGGTTTACCAATGTCACTTACCCATAGCGGAGTCGCGTTTTTTTCACATTCATAATCTAGTCGTGCATACCTGAATTTATATCAAATTAGCATTTAATTCGATTAAGCAAAAAACGTAAAGATGCGCTCGAATTACCTTAATACCTGATCAGGAAAAGGTTCAATTTTTTTTTGAAATTTTAGAAAGGCTTTATCTACATTGACTTGAGTATTTTCATAAATTTCATCGCCAACAGGAACAAGAGCCCTAGAATTTCCACTATCTAAATCTATCATAAATCAATTATAAATCAATTATAAATGAAACAAGTCTAATAATTAAAATACCGGTACCCATATTCATGTAGTTAATTATGCTCACTTGATAAACTGTCATCAATTTCACCATTTTCACCATCTTTGAACAAATTCCCCTCAGGTTCTGTAATAACTTCAAATTCCGGAAACAAAACCAATTTGCTACATAGATTATCATCATCTAATGAAGGTGTAGTTGTATTACAATGGATTTTATGTTGCCCGGATGTCCAATGGTCAATTTGATGTTCTTTTGAACAATAATATGTTTTATTACATTTCCCGCATTTTTTGGAACCGCGAAGACCACAAACTACACAATAATCGACTAAAACATGTATTTTAGGGTTATGATCTTTATGGCAACATATTAATATTTTACATAGATAATGTAGAGAGATATGAACCAGTAGTAAATTTTTCCGATGGACGATTAGCATGTTCATTTAAGTCGTCATCATTAGACTCTTCGTTTGGTGGTGGCCAATAAGGATTATATTTTGGTAATTGACTTCGAAATACTTTTAAACTTTATAAAGCAGATAAGTAAATAATTATGTGATAGGTGTACCCCACACCGTCCAACTATTATAGTGTTGCTTAAAATGAATTGTGATATAAACTATGATTCAATGTAGTTTGAAAACTCAATTTCAAGCCAGTCTCAATAATTTGTAGGCAAATTTGCCTATAAGACGGTGTAAGGGATAATGGTTAAATGTAACATTTTTTTTTTCTTTTTAAAAGTTTAACAACCTTTTACGCCATGAAGTTTTGTGACATGCCCCATTTTTACAGCAAAAAACGTATATCGAGCGATGAAAGGCTTCAGGCGGGTAATCTTCAGGAGTGTATAGCTATGTTTAAAGATAGTTTAAAAAACTAAATAATTGTTACTAAATAAACTTTTGAGCAAAATTGAAATATAGTTACCTGAACCAAAAGTACCATGGGCTTTTTACAAATACCACAAAGAACATCTTCAGCTGTTAAAACATAAGCCGGATTCAGCCATGCCTAAGTTTTTTCATGAACAATTAATCAACTCATGCCGTATGATTTTTGAAAAATCTAGTAACTAAGCATTAATTTACCGGTTTTCCCCCAATCTTATTCGGAAAACTATCTGCAGTGAGGGGATTTTCTGGTGGCTCGGCAAAGCCAAGTTCTACGACCTTGGTCGAAGAGGTTGCCATGGCCAATAAGGAAAACTTTATCAGTTGCATTTGGCGAGAAGATTTTATTGCAACCAGTGTAGTACAAAATCATAAAATTAGGAAATCGCTAAGGCGGGGTTACATCTTTGATGCATCTAGGTTACCTTTTTTAATACATCCATATAGGAATACCGTTTATATTATCAAGAATATGACTTATGCAGTATGTAGATTAACATATCGAATTTAACCTTAGTGAATTCCTAAAATTAGTAAATTATGTAAAAAACTTCATGGGAAGAAATTCATTTGATTGGTAATTTGTGTAAATTATCTATTACTACGTAGCGAAGCTACCTTTACTTTTATTTGTTGTATTTTGAAAAGTAATTCTCCTTTATTTCAAAAATATTGCTATCACTTGACAAGTATGAAAAAAATTTCAATTGGTCTCTTTAGATGAACTTTTGAATAATTGAATCAATACCAGTTTGAAGAGAATGTCCCAGCGTCGCCAATAATCGAGAGAGTAATTAGGTGGTCAATCTATAGTAAAATTTTGATTAATGATAATATACATAAATCTGTCAAACCAATACCAAAAAAAATAAAAATAAAAAATTTCCCTGCTAATGTTTTCCCAGATGTCAGTTAAAAATTGTCATTATAACCAGGTGTCAGTTTATACAAATGTCATTATAA